TTTCCTTCGATTGTTCACTCTCTCAGGAGCATACAACTCAGCAAACTTTGAGCAACTTCTAAAGGAAAGCATCTTCAGTAGTGTATATCACTACGGCGAGCAATGCTTGATGGATGTTCATATGAAATATAGAGTGGAACCTCAACATTACGGTTTAAGAATCTTTGATGACATCACAACAAATTATGAGCCTCTTGGATGTAGTTTTGCAAATAACAATAGATAGGGATCTTAGGCATAGGGTAGTCAACTTATCAATGAGTTTATCATAAACATCAATAGAAGGAATTTTTGTTTCTGACTTTCTTTTATCTCATTCAATGCTCTAATCGATTGATAGCCCAAGCAATGAAGTTGTTGCACGTCAACCCAATTTGCAAATCTAAAGTATTGAGCTTCAGACATGGCCATCCAATCAACGTATCTGATGTGGGAGCGGAACTTATCCTACCCAGGTGGAACGGGCGTGGGACTCGAAATCCCGTCCTATGAGAAACTGTAGCAGGAATTCCCTTGCTTATTGAGGACGGCCGATCCTTGTGGGCCCAATTTATTATATATTGATTTCTAATTGCGATTTAGTTTATATTTTAGTATAAGTATACTGTTTTAGAACTTGGTTTGAACACTTATTTTGGTTTATATTATTTGGAGATATTTTATCTTGTTTTTCGATTTGGATTGTTGCGGTTTTTTTTTTTTAAGTGGTGAGTCTGTATTTTGAAGGTGTTGGGCAGTGGAATTTCTCGGAGTCGGTGCATAACTAGCCGCCGGCCGCCCCCCTTTTTGCTGTTTTCTTCAAGGACTGTAGCCATTATCAGATTTCCCCATCCAATCTCCATCTACTTCACAGATTCTCTTATGTCTCATTCCATAACACCTCATTGCTAGGTCCGATTCTTAAACAGCATCTAGGAATTTTAAAATGGTGCAGTATCGTTCCTTTTTATGTGAGTCAATTTGTGATTACTTTTGGGTCTAGACGACCTTAAAAAGGAGGGGTGGTTTAAGAATTCCATTTTGACTTTTCCGTTGATTTCATCATTAAAATCTCTCTCATTACATGACAGTTATATTATGATGTTCAGGATTGCAAGGAAACCCATCGGTAGTGTTATTAATGTCATTCATGTTGCATGGGATGAGGCATTAAGCCATCTTATTAACCTATCAGTCACTTGACTAGTCGTGTTGGTCTATATATAACTTAATATAATCATAACAGTCACGCAAATATTTAACTTTATATTCTCAAGCCTTTTTTTAGAAAGGGGTGAGTAAGGTTGCAAAGTCAAGACGAGCAAATGCCTGTTCGAGCTCAAGTTCATTTATTAAGAGCTTTTTCGAGCTTGGCTCAAGTACGACTGGAGCTTGATTCAAGCTTTTAAGATTATGTTTGAGCTCGAGCTCGTTTATAGCTATCATATTGAAGCATGATTTAAACTCGATTCATATAGGGATTATTGAGCTTATTGGCGAGTAGCTCGTTTAACAAATTAAATGAGCCTTACTCGAACTTTAACCATTCTTTACTCCAGCTTTATATAAGCAGCTTGTTAGGAAAAATAACAAGCAATATCAGACGATGCTCGTTGAACTTTGAAATAAAAATTTAAACAATAATGTTCATGAATGAACTGTAATCGAGCCGTAATCAATTTTGTTAATGAGCTTTAAATGATATTGTTCTTGAATATTAATGAATGAAACAACAAGTTGTTCAAGCTTTTTTAGTTAGTAATAGCGTATTCATGGAAGTGTTCAAGCTCATTCAATTTATTAATCAAACGAAATGAGTTGTAATTGAGCCAGAAATACGAGTAGCTTATTGAACGCTCGGTTCATTTGCAACCCTAGGGAGGAGGTGTTTAGATTTAGAAGTGAATTGCACTATCATTCTCATTGGGCGTGGCTTGAGTCATTTTTGGTTTGGGGTTGAGGCTTAAAAGTCTAATTTCAAGAGAGGCCATGCAATTGTCTGATTTGTAGCGAAAGGATATCATGCACTCTTGTTTTTCTTGTAAGTGGAGGATGCTATCACACCTACAATCTATATGGCAACCTTGATATGGATGACCACTAAAGTTTGTTATCAGGGAAGTTACCAAGCTAAGGGCTAAGGGGAATATACCTAGGGTTGGAGTAACTAACTCATTAATATGGATTTATGGGTGTAAGTTTTTAAAAGGAAATGTAAATGTAATCCAATTTTAACCAAAGTAAGTTCGATAGATAAATAACCTTATCAAGCAGTTATTTATTGAAATTCACTTGATTTTAGTTTGTAAACGCCATCAAATGTGAGCAACCTTTGTTGGAAATGCAAGTGTAGAGAATAAATTAAAAGAAACTAGATAATTTTTTTGGCAAAAAAATAAGGATCAACTTGCTTTGTTATTAAATGTGATGCATATGATTAAATGAGAAATTTTGTTTTCTAAATTTTAAAGTTGAAAACTTTACTGTTCCAATTAATCAAAATTAACGAATGTTTAGAGTTGCTACTGGTTGAAGGTTCATGCAGTAATGCAAACTTGATGAAAGTTATTTTTTTTTCTTTTTTTGGTATTTTATAAAATACGGGGTGACAAGTTAAGAGAGTTAAGAAAATACAATGTGGAGGAAGAATAATGATGATAATGAGGCTTAACCAACCAGATGTGCAACGCTTAGCCAATTTTCATTAATTAAACAACCATCACAAAAGCCAATATATGGATATGTAGGACGAGAAAAGAAGGATAAATGGAGGGAGGGAAAGGGAGGAGGATGTTGTTGGCCGAGGGTTTGGGAAGGAAAAATAAACCAATTTTGTCGAGGAATTTGAAGAGCTGAATAAAGGTTCTGTGAAGGCCTCTAAAACTCTCTTAATTGTGGTTTCCAAGGGAAGGAGAGGACCAGTGGCTTTTATGAGAAAGTGGGTGATCGCTGGCTATCGTCTCATGGGAGGAGAAATTAGGTTGGTTAAAATTTTATCGATAAATGCTTGGCACTAAAACTTACACTATATATAGAGTCCTCACCATATCAATACCACTAAAATATAAATACTTTATAAGTATTTTAAAAGAAAAAAAAAAGACCTTAGTGACTATTACTGTAATACTCGGCATCACATGACTTTCAAAAGGTTGAAAATAGCAGGAAATAAAATTTAGGGGCAAAGCTATGAAAAGGAAAATGCTGCAGTCGAGTAATTTTAGACCATAATGCTTGGAAAGTGTCAGGTATATTATTTCATTTCTTTTTGTCTATTTGATTTTGGAATGGGTTCCCGGATTGCTGCAATAACTTGTGCATGTTTAGATAAAACCAATAGACTTCATCTTCTTGTATCCGTGCAGATGCTTCCATCCAAGGATGTGAATTTCGTTGGTTATACGTACAAGAACTACGACATTGTTAATGATTATGGACTTCCCGGCATCGGTAGTACTTTCTTTCCTTAACTGCATTTTCTTTACACGTATTACCTGCTCTATTTCCGCCCTGAAGCAATTAGCTATAATAATGCCGCATTTTCAGCTGAGTTGAAGAAAAAAAGTAACAAGCCGAAGAGGCCCTCAATCAAAACCTTATTTGGTAAATGTTTTAAGACAGCTGAACTTTTACTGTTTTTTTTTTCCTCAAATTTTCTTAATAGCACCACAATTTGACTGAAATTATGATAACTGATCTCAATCTTCATCCTCACATTTCTACAGAAACGGAATCTCCTACCAGCCAGCCCATGCATGGGAGCTTTCTCAATCTTCTGCCTCCACAGCTGGAGGTTTCTGAAAGCCCAGACGCATCACCTTCACGAACTCCACCCAATTCTAGCAAGCCATCGTGATTTGAAACTCTAAATCTCCACTAAGATAACAATTTTTCACTTAACATGTTTATAATCATAGTAAAAGTTTAGAAGCGTGACAAAGGATCGCAGAATAATGGTGGAATCCTTCCTCCTTCCTTCCCATACGACTTCTGTGTATTAGTTTATGCACGCCCCTCACTTAAATTAATTAAAAGTGGGGTACCAGCTTTTCTTAGTTTGGTCTTTACGCTGTACTCTGTCGAGTGCTGCTGTGGTGTTCCTCTGAGTCTGTTTGGCCTGTGAGCCATATAAACTGATTTGTGCTTGATCATTTATGTTCAAGATGAATATGTAAAATTGCTGTAAATTTAACTTCAATTTTGTTAATCCAACATGTCTGCTTCACTCAGCTATTCGGGACTTTTCCTTGTGTAATCTAGCATGGAGATCATCTTTCTTATCTTTACATTAGTAAAAGTTAGTGTAAATAAATCATTAGTCGTGGGAGTAATTGATGCATGACAAATGTAGAGCACAAATTTCTTTTCTTGTTTGTCATTTTCCTTTTAATGATAATTTTTTGACTCTTGAGAGACTGGGTTATATTATTTCTCGGTTCATAATATGACTGATTTATTATTATTATTTTCTTTCTAAAATTACCACCTGACCCCTTTATGGCAGCTAGATACTTCCTGTATGAGTGTGTGGTAAGGGCAGCGACGTGATGATAATGTGGCGTCATACGGTACTTTTGTGTTTGGTAAAATTAAGTCGAGACATGATTTGTGGTGATTGCTTGAAAGTTGTGATTTAATTTAATTTTTTAAAAAATATAATAGTCACTGAAGCAGCTATAAGACTTTTTCATTAAACAGTTGCAATGGTTGGGCGTAAACGAGTTGAACACAAGCTGTTCGTGAATAATGAGCCGTTTTGACAGATTATATATAACTCCAGTTAACAGGAGTTTTCATATAACATCGGCATTCTGTTCGCTATACATCATCACAATTCTTCTTCATCTTCAAATTCCCTTTTTAATCTTCTTCGTCTTCAAGTTTTTTCCTCTTCAGCGTTGTCAAACCAATTTTGTATCCAGCTACTCCATATTTAACTCCAAATTCATGTAAATGTCTGTTTTTTCTATCCGAACATGCATGTTGAATAATAAAATCCTAGGAGTAATAATTCCTTGGGCCGGGGTGGTAATGTAATTTTTTTCTTCTTATTTTTATGGAGTAAGTGGCCAAATGTCACACAATTATTGGTGTTCAGACGTAATTTAACGCTCAAATGCGGTCTAATTATTGCGTGCGGAGCCGCGCATCGAGGCTGTATGATAGTGGGTCCAACTTCAGTGAATATCATGGTTGTGATCGGAGAGCGCACGCAGAGTCTCCACACGCAATAATCACTCTCGAATGTGATACGCAATATTTTTCCCTCGAAAGATGGTGTTGTTGTCTGTGATGGAAAAGAAATTTATTGTGGGAGAAGTGTATGGTGGTAAGAATCAATCCTAGATTTTGATTTACATGCTTTTGTTATATGGTTTGTTTCAACCAAAAAAAAAAAAATGGCTTTGTTCTAAGTTATAATTATATATATTTTTGTTTAACTAAATATTCTATTACAAACATATTAGAACCAATCTAACAAACTTATTTTAAAGGGCAATTTGAACACTTGAATGGCATTATTATCATTGATTTAATATATATCTTGGATAATTATAAAATTTAAGAAATTTTTCTTAAAGGACTTTATGGTAGTCCAAGGAGAAGGCTCAATCATTTGTCACTTTTATGTTAAAATTGTGGAGCAAATCTTCTTTATAAATTTTTTTTTTTGCACAAGTGCACAAGTCATGATTGAATCTTTGAATCTTTGCTTTAAATGTAAATCTTTGACTAATCCATTTTTTTTGTAGGTTATGAAGTATTTTGGATATCTTATATTAATGAAAATATTTTGAAGTTTGATCATTTATTAACTTTCATAGATCATGTAATATTTTGTGGATTCATCTCTTCACACCAATCAATTATAAAGATGCACCATTCCTATGTTTATGTATTTGCTATATTAGGGATTTCATCTTGATGTGTTTTACATGCTACTATTAATGCAATAGCTAGTAGCAAAAATTTTGACTTGAAAATTTCAAATTTGAGCATGAAGGATAGGAGTATCAAAATTGTCAAATTTTAATATGACTTTCATATTTTTATTGCTCATTGATTGTTTGATATCAATGGATTTGCTATTGTTGAACATTTTAAACCTATAAAAATAAATTTTTAATCAATTTTCTAGAAATATGCACTTTTGCAACCATGTGATTCCTGATTTTTTTTTTGTTAACAAAGAGGATGCTTTGTGTGTTCGGACATAAATTTAAATAATTGTCTTGCTTTTTTGAGAAGATCCTAGCACAAGGAAAACCATCTATTATTTTATTTGATGATTTTGAGCTTCAATCTTCAATTTTTCAATAGCCCTTCGAACTCTTCTATTTTTGCTTCGGAATCTCTCTGAATCGCCCTATAGTTGTTTCTAGTGATCCCTATAGTTGCTTACTGTTTGCCCTTGTAAGTGGAAATTTTTCTTTCAATATTTTTGAGTATTAATTGCTCAAGGAACCTGAGATATGTAGCATTTTTTCTAAGAAAATTGCAGGGACATTGTAGACTTAAAAAGACTGATGTGCCAGTTTATGATGGGTCATGGTCTGAATGGGGTTCCAAATTTGATAAGATCATCACATCTACTTGAGTTCATTATCTTTATTCTTGCAAATAGAATATGCCATCTTTTCCCATGCATTAGGCCAACTCATGTACATTTAAATGAGTTGGCCTAATACATAGAGGAAGGATATTGAATTATATTTCCAAGTCTAAATACAATGAACATAAAAAGAAGAAAGTGTTTAGGAAGATTTACATACATATCACACAATTCTCATGTATTTACATATCTTACACCCAAAATTTAATTTTTATGCCTGTACCACTTTAACTATATTTAATACTGAATATTTTGCCTTTTGAAAGTTAGTTATAGTGGTATTTTTTATGCGACATGAAAAATTTAAGTATTGTAAATATAAAAATTAAAGTTTAATTGATAGATACGTAAATACATATAAATTGTGTGGTGTGCAAGTAAACTATTAATCAAACTGTTACTTCGGTCATTAGAAATGTAGACGTGGAAGATCTGCTTATGTATTGTGATTATGAGTTCTCAAAGGTATTTTCTAATGTTGGAATGTGCAGGTGGAGAATGCCTATAATTTTATTCTATTTATTTAGTCTTTAATATAAGGGAGAATATTATTCTGTATAATTGAATTATATACTGACACCTTTAATGAATAAGGATAATAAAACATTGATTATATATTTAGGGATTAATTGAAGATTATGATTGAGTTTTTTAAAATCATTGGTTTAAAGAGAAAATTAATGCATTAATTAGAAAGATTAATTCCTATGGTTGCTGAGCCATTAGGATAAGAAAAGCTAAATACCAAGTTCTTAATGAATTTTCTGATTATATCTTTTACTAGGGGCATTTACATTCATACCACCTAATTCCTATGTATTTACATATCTAACATCTAAACATCATTTTTCACATCTATATCATTTGAATTCTTTCGCATCTCATACAAAATCGGATCATTTTAATTTGTTTTAACTTTTAAAAATTAAAATACATATGTTTATGTTAGGTAAGGTTAATATAACATATAAGGGACATATGCTGGAGTGGAACGGAGCGAGCCAGTGGAGCGGAGCGGAATAATCTGTCTAATCGGGGGAGCTTCGTTAAATGGGTTCGGGGTGCGGGGGCAACGGCCCCGCGGTACTGTACAGAGATAATTTTGTGATTACATATTGTACGTCAGAGTTATATATATGTTTTGGTAGTAACTCCAGACATATTCTGTATTCTTTCCTCCTTTTCTGAATTGATGGAAAGTCGCCGCCATGCTCTCTAGAACGTAGACATCTTTGTCGAGCCTCATAATTTCTCAACAGTTTATGTATATATAAGATGAAATGTATGTAAATCATAGTATTATACATAAGAATTGAGTGTATATGTATGTAAATCTTCCTTTTTAATATCCTCAATATTAATTTTTAGCAAAAAGAAATTGAATTTATAAAACATGAAAATAATGCTTATGCATGAAGTTGCGTGCAAAACATATGCATGATTAAGAAAAAAAAGGAAAATCAAATCATTAGTAACGTAAGAAAAAAAAATTGAAATCCGTTAAGAGGAGGAATTGCGTTGGGGTTGGACAATGGCCATGGGTCCCATTTGAACTGGCATTCAGCGTGCAACAGGACAAAGGTTCAACTGGACAATGTTGCACGGCACCCTGGTCCAGTGGATCCAAAATTTAAAGGAATCAATTAAGTGGTATTAAAATAATCTCCATGATTATTTCAGTTTTAAATTTATAGAATTATAAAAATAATTTTCGATTATTTTTAAAATTATGAAAATTATTTCAATCCTAAATTAAAGAGTTAGAAATCATTTTGATGCATTTGTAAAGTTTAGAATTAAAATGCTCTCATATGAATACTATACACTTTACTCATAAGATTTTATAGGGTGAAATTCACGAGAAATTATTTCGTACGTACACCGCATGTAATGTTCGATCTCCACCGTCGATCACCACAAGCAAATTTAAAAAAAAAAAGTTGAAAGTGGGGTCCACCGAAATACATATTTGCGGTGATCGACGGTTAAGATCGGACACCGCATGCATCTCTGCATGGGGTGTCCGTATGGAATAATTTTTTGAAACTCACGGCCGAAGATTGAATGATTGCAAGAAAATTTAAGCTAAAAATGAATCAATTGGGGACTATTTTTAGCTACTTTATAAAAAGTATTGAAATTAAAAAAAATATGATTATTATCATTATTATTATATTTATTGTCTATGAATTAAGGACGTAAGTTACCGTTAATCGTATAAATGAAGAACTATGTTACTCTACAAAACGAGTCGTCCAAAATGAAAATTCGCTCACTCTAAAATTCCTTTAGTTAGTAATTGTGAAATGTAATTATTATTTTTTAAAATAAATTGTGAATATTAAGTCGGCTCACGGGTTAAGAAAATTGGCCAACAAATGAAAAACATAGAAGTTGGCAATTAGGTCATCTTAGGGCTACAAATGAAGCTAATTGAGCTGAATCGGAGCTTGTACAAGCACTACTTCGTTTATGAAAACTTTATTCAAAATTTGCTCGGACTATATAGCATTGTGTTCTGTTGAGAAAGAAGGGCAAAGAACCTCTAGAATCAAGAATAATAAATTAGAGATTTAACAAGCCTACGTTTTCACGAGCAGAGCGATGAGCGGTGGTTTTTATTTCCTGAAACAGTTAATCTCCAGTTATAAATATATATATAACCCTAGTTGCAATTACAAAATTATCCTGTACCGTATCGCAGGGCCTTAACACACTTAATGAAACTCTCCCAATTGGAAAAATACTTTTATTCCGTTCCGCTCCAGCATCTGTTTCTTATCCGATATATGAGTCATACCTAACATGTTCAAACTTAGTTGATTTAAGATCAAATTTAGCGAGCTTAGTTCAAATTGAGATTAAAAATTTAACTTAGTAAGAGATGTACACACTTTAGTCTTAATCGAACTTCTTAAAAGATTTTTTCACGAACTTTAAATAATGCTGATCATTATCATCAATTAGTCGAGCCACAAATTGTTTAAACTCATTAACTTAATAATCAAGTTGTCAGGAAAAAGCATTTGAATTCGTTGGATTAGTAAATCATTGTCCATGAATAAGTAAATTGTAACATTCAATCATTTGCAGCCCTAATTTTTTTCTATTTTAGTAATTAAATATTAAGTTATGGAACTAATTGCATTCATAAAATATTTCTTATATGCAACTGTATTTTCAAATAAAAATAAATTTGTGAGGTAATATTTGAAGACTTGTGCCAAAAAAAAAAAAATCTCCGCGAATGTATCTACGTATTCTCACTCTAAATGAGGTAAATATTGAATAAAATAATTTATTTTAAGTTTATAACAATCATTCATAGACTTCTTGTGGAAAATAATAATAGTAGTAACAATAAAAAAAAAAAATATTATATCTGTCATCTAAATAAATAGAAGATGACATGAATTGTACAATATATTATCCATAATGTGGACCACATATCTACATTACGAGATAAAATATTTTTCTTAAATTAAATCAAATTATTTAACATACATATTAATTTTTTTTGAAGTTTAATAGAATATAAAATTTAATATTATTAATTTTTTTTAAATAAATTAATGATTTTTTTTTTGGAAAAGCTGAGTTACAAAATGAAAACTCAACATTACAACTCACACAAGTCAAATAATACAAAGTAAAAAACCAGAAACAAGACTCGAAACATCAGAGTAATACCAAAGCAAAATCATAGACAAAACCGCAGCAACATCTCTCAAACAGTCATTAGAAGCCCTACATAATCCATAGCATCATCCAAAGATTCCAATAGAAGAATCACTTCCAAAGATTCCAATAGAAGAATCACTTGGAGGCCCAGCCTCATCCGCAAGAGATATGAAGGAATGATACTGAAAAATATTGATGAAAAAGCTCTCCTATGCAAGTACTGCAGCTGAAGATCCATAAAAACCAACAAAAATCACAGTTCTTCCAACCATACCCACATCATCATCTGAAGACGATAGAGAATCCCTTCATGGCTCAGCTCCATCCTCAAGAAATAAGAAGCAATAATATAAAAGATTAAATGAAAAGGTTCTCCATTTCGTAAAGACAGATGCAGATCCAAATATAACAATAAGAAACATAGTAATTCCAACAAAAATCATAGCATCATCCGAAGATACTGATCGAAGAAACTTTAGGAGAACGAAAAGAAAAATAAAATTCCTTCTATGATTAAATATATCATATATATTTAAAACGGTTGAATTTTAATTAAAAATGAAAAAATTATAGTTCAAACCATTAAATTTGATAGGAATATCAGAAATAAAGTCGGAGAAAGATGCTAAAATAATTACAGGTGTCGGTCACACCTAAACTAGCCGTTGGGCAGCTTTAAAAAACGAAAGAAAAGAAACATTAAAGCAGCGGTGCGGTGCACCTGCGGGCCCCTACACTATACCCCGCACATTGTAACCACGACCCCACCAAATGGAATAGAATACTCCAACGGCTCTCTAGCATCGGTGGACCGTTGTTGTTTCACGGGCCCAACCACGCTTTTTTCCCTAATCTTCCCCTTCCTCGCCTCCCATATATAGGAGCAGAGGATTTAGGGAGCCAGATCCCGCACAAAGCTCATCACCGACAGCCACACGGTTTTGACGTCCATCACTCACTTTCTCAACATCCATCATCTCTGCCGGCGATGACTGCGGAAGTGAGCCCGGAGCATACCCAAATGGCTGAGTCCCCTGTGAATGTTGAAGAACCCCTGAAGCAGGAGGAGACTGCAGGAGAGGAAAACAATTTGGAGGCTTCCAATGGCAAGAACCCATCTCCGGATCTCATCCCAGAAGTCGATGAGAGGAGAGCCTCCTTCAAAGAGGAGAGTAACTTTCTCTCCGACCTCAAAGAAAGCGAGAGGAATGCCTTGTTTGAGCTGCAAAGCAAGCTTGAAGAAGCCATAGCCCAAGGAAATCTTCTTGAGAAAGACAGCAAAGAAGCAACGGATCAGGAAGGCCGAGATGCTAACAACAAAGATTACTCAATATGGGGAGTGCCTCTCTTGCCAAGCAAGGGCGGCAAGAGCACCGATGTCGTCCTCCTCAAATTCCTCCGTGCCCGCGAGTTCAAGGTCAAGGATGCCTTTGAGATGTTAAAGAATACTCTTAGGTGGAGGAAGGAGAACAGGGTTGATTCCATTCTTGATGAGGTGGTTCTCAAGGATGAGTTTGGGAAGGCGGGTTTCATCAATGGCATTGATAGGGAAGGGCATCCTGTCTGCTATAATGTTCTTGGTGTTTTCCAGGATGCAGAAATCAGCAGGATAGTATTCGGGAGCGAGGAAGGGCGCAAGAAGTTCTTGAGGTCGAGGGTACAGCTTATGGAGCAGGGGATAAAGGAGCTTGACATGAGGCCTGGTGCGGTTTCTTCCATGCTCCACATTACTGATCTCAAAGATATGATTGGTTTGTCCAAGAAGGAGGTTAGGGATACCCTTAAGCTGGCTGTGCAGCTTCTACAGGATAATTACCCTGAATTCGTAGCAAGACATGTAAGATTAAGCTTGCTATCTGTTAAGTACATTTTAAGATTATTAAATACAAGCATAATTTAATTTTTGTTATAAACATATAAACTTCGTCTGTTTTCTTGCTGCAGGTAGTTATAAACGCACCTTTCTGGTACTATGCACTTAATGCAATCCTATCCCCTTTCCTAACCCAGAGAACAAAAAACAAATTTGTTGTTGTTCGTCCTGCGAAGGTTACTGAAACCCTTCTCAAGTAAGCCATTTTTTTTATATTTTGAAATCCTTTCGTTCGTGCATCTGGAAATTTAGTTAATCAGACAAAAAAATACTACTCTTGATCAGATATATTTCTGCTGAGGCTATTCCTACACACTATGGCGGTCTTAAGCGTGAGAATGATAGTGAGTTCTCCATGGAAGAAGGGAGAGTATTGGAGCTGACTGTTAAACCTGCTTCTTTTGGGACAATTGAAATCCCTGCACTTGAGGTATGGCCTTAAGATTTTGAAACTACAAATATTAGTAGTAGTTTGTGTTGATTCCTGCAAGTCTTATTCTCTGTATATTTGCTGAAATTCTACTGCACGAAAGTAGAAGTGTTTTCCTCTACCTATTGTATTGATTTACGGACGATATTTATAAATTTCCATTAGTTCTATGGAGTTCATCAAAGCCAATATTTTTTATTTTGACGTTGGAAAGTTTATATAAAATGCAGACAGGAACAACTGTCCTCTGGGATTTTTCTGTCCTTGGTTGGGAAGTGAACTACAGGGCAGAGTTTGTGCCGGCGGATGAAGGCGCATATACCGTCATTGTCCAGAAAGGAAAGAGAATAGGGGCCGAGGAGGAGCCCATTCGGAACTCATTCAGGAACAACGAGCCTGGCAAAGTTATTCTTACCATTGAGAACAGCACAGTGAAGAAGAAGAGAGTCTTCTACAGATACAAGGTGACGAGTGCTTGACTGCTTGAGCAAGTCTTGGAAACTCTCTGGCTTTCAGTAGTTGTGATGGGGTGAGAGTTTGTAAGTGCGTGATTTTGGGTTTGATTTGGAGAAGTTCGTTGGTGGGTTCACAGTATATTTTTTTTGATGGTGGGGTTATAGCAGTGTGATTTTAGGTTTCACGTGGAGAAGTTTGTGGAGTGGGTTACAGTTACTATTTTGGATTAATGGGTTGGGTTAAGAGAGCATTGATTTGCCAGGCTCGTGTGAGTGTGTGATTTTAGGTTCATTCTTTTGTTAAGAAAGCATTGATTTCAAGCATCCAGATTCAATTCTATTTCATCGTGATTGTGCAATGGTTTATTTTATTGCTGAATGTGTCACTTAACAACAGTAAACCTCTATAGCCTCTGAGGTTTAGTTGAAAAGAACTGCTATATATATATACATAGAGAGAGAGAGAGGGAGAGAGAGATTGCTCTATATAGCAATAATTTGGTACATATTTGATTAATCTTCTCACACTTATTTTTAAGCCACACACATAAATGACATCAGGGCATGTTGCATGAAAGTGGTTCGGCTCTTCTGTGCATGGAGAGAATATTTTGTGCATAATTTGTATGTGCAGATTAGGGGTGTACCTCTCCACTATTCCTCTAAGTACCCCCATCCACACGTACGGATTTAATCATCACATAGTATTTTTTCTTGTGCATGGGGAGCATGGGGGATTTTAGTGATTGGAGCACCAATTTTATTCGATCTATTACACAAGTAAATGTGACCTTATACATGTACATTTATGCTCATATTTATCTAAGTAAAAAAATAAAAAAGCAACTACAGTTTGCAGCTCTTGAAATATCTGCCAGAACAAAAGTATGCATACATTAAATTCTTTTGGGATGTAATATTCTATATGATTCATGGACTCATGCAATTAGGGAGATAACTTAAAGATGTGTGGAGAAGCAATGATTTAGAGAATTTTTTGAGGTGTGGAATTGAGAGATAGTAAGGACAAGATCCCCCTCTTTCCTCATTCATTCTTATTTATATACTCAAGAGGGCTATGTACCCATGCATGAGTCCTACTCAAGAGCCTGTGCAACCAACCATGCATGAATCTAGAAAATAATCATAAAACTAGGTTATATGTTATGTAGTGCGGAGTCTGAGCAAACTCGATATAGGCAAGACTATTAGTGTGGGTTGTCATGATATTAATAAATAGTAATATGTATGTCGACAGATGAGAATTCTTTTTTCTTTGTCTTGGAGAGCAGCTTGTCAAGTTCTGTGATGTAGCCAGGTAGTTGTTAGTAAGTTTGGTGAGAAAGTTCATCTAGCTTTTACGGGTGTGTGAAGAAGCAGTGATTTAGAGAATTTTTTAAGGGTGTGGAATTGAGAGATAGTAAGGACGGGACCCCTCCTCTTTGCTCTTTCATTCTTATTTATATACTCAATAGGCTATGTACTCGTCCATGAGTCCTACGCAAGAGCCTGTGTAACCGTGCATGAATCTAGAAAATAATCATAAAACTAGGTTATATGTTACGTAGTACGGAGTCTAAGCAGACTTGTTGTAGAGACTGCTGCTATGGATTGTCGTGATATTAATAAATAGTAATATGTATGCTGACAGATGAGAATTCTTTTTTCTTTGTTTTGGAGAGCAGTTCGTCAGGCTCAGTGATGTAGCCAAGTAGTTGTCAGTATGTTTGGTGAGATAGTTCAACTAGTTTGTACGGGTGTGTGAAGAAGCATTGATTTAGAGAATTTTTAAGGGTGTGGAATTGAGAGATAGTAAGGACGGGACCCCCCTCTTTCCTCTTTCATTCTTATTTATGTATTCTTAAGGGTGTGGAATCTAATATGTATGCTTACATATGAGAATTCTTTTTTCTTTGTCTTGGAGAGCTGCTCGTCAAGCTCAGTGATGTACCCAAGTAATTGTCAGTAAGTTTGGTGAGAAAGTTCATGTAGTTTGTACGGGTATAGAGAAGGAAATCAAATAGTGTATGTGATTTTTGTTGAAATAACTGACTTGAAGATTAAAGTGAGGTAGCTCGTCCTGAGAAACACATTTGAATATTGATGTATTTCAGAGGTACTCATAGTATCCATCTAGAAAGTAATGAGCTCTACAACTTGCCACTTTTAAAGGTATGACTAAGGAGTACAATTGATCTTATGTGAGTTTGGTTGAAAAAACTCACTTGAAAATTGAAGTGAGGTAGACCGGTTCTGAGAAACTCATTTAAATATTGATGTATTTCAGAGGTACTCGTAGTATCCAGCTGGAAAGTAAGGAGCTCTACAACTTGCCACTTTTAAAGGTATGACTAAGGAGTACAATTGATCTGATCAGTGTCAGAGCTCTAAATGAACATCTGGTGGGCTTGATCATTTAAGCCTGTGATACTCATTGAACATATGAGCTTTCCTTTTGCCAAAAAAGAAAAAAACGCATTTTTAGATACTAAACATATAAGAGAATAAATTGTCTCTATATGCGACTAGAGGGATGAGAAAGTTGCAGTAAGGGTTCTGCCCTGTCACGTTTGTCCAGAGACATATCTATTCATATTCAATTAAAACATTGTTTTCCACCACAAATCAGCCTTATGATGCCTTGAAGAATAGTCATGGGAGTTTACCGTTGAGCTCAAACTTTCCTTTCTCTAGAAGTTTGGAAGCTACACTTTTAGTGAGTAGCCGTGTATATTCTTGGATAATTATGGATTGTTTCCCATTTTGGAGTCTTTACTTTCTAGGTGATGGAAGCAACTCATTCAATGATTATGACTTGTAGATGTTTCAGATGGATTTTTTTTCCTGTAGAGTTACCCAGGGCAGAAGCACATACTGGATAAATGAACTATATAGAATTAAAAACAAGCGGTCAACGAAATTCAACAAATATATTTTTTGTATGAAAATGTTGTCAACACAACAGACAAGTCAACAAACAATTTATGTCATGGAGTGTCAATTATATAATTGGAACGTTATGTTGGTATTACATGACATAAAATAACGTTGTATTAAAGAAAAAAATGTGAAAAAGTTCAGTTCCTAAAAGAAACTCTAAAAAAACTAAAAATGCTTGTGATTTTATTGTTTTGGAACGGGAAATAATATATATATATATATATATATGCATATATATGTGTGTGTGTGTGTGTGTGTGTGTGTGTGTGTGTGTGTGTGTGACATTCCTTGTCCAGTTGGTAGGCAGGGTCACTGTAAGTCCCCTCTAGCAAGAGTTCGATCTCTACCGTGGTGCGTGGGGGGTCGAATTATAAGCACATGGCGCGGGCTCTCAACATGGGGCCGGATTGCACATGGGAAATCGATATTTGGGTCTCTGCCAAATATCGATTTCATATATTGGAAGCCTCCAGATTCGTGTTTTCCCGGGCATAAAATAATTTATTTGAATGACCTTGAATTAGGGCAAGATATTTTGATCACAAAATTACTAGGAATGTCGATATATTGGTTACAACATGGTTGTATTACATGTAGTAGTCGTGTCCACATGTTGCACAACACATTATAGCCAAAAGGTTTAACGTACGAAATGAACATCTACCTTCTTGTATGTAGGGTTGTATTGAAGTTGAGTCGAGCTGTATCATTGCTCGGCTTGGTATAATTATAAGTTGTTCATGTTCGGCTTAAACTTGTATCGAGCTTCACATATTGTTCAATCTTGACTTGTTTATTTTTTTCAATGTTTGAACTTGATTTGTTTATGACAAGTGAACGGGTTTTTAAATGAGCTAAAAATTCAAACGAGTATCTAGATTTTCATATAAAAATTTTAAAAAATAATTTAACCTAAATCCTACCAATCAACAAAAAATGAAAAATAATGCTTTAAATGGTCTTAAATCACGTTTCTCCTTCAGTTTGTCTTAAAATACAGATATTTTCTAAACAACAAAAAAACAACTATAAACTATACAAGATCTTAAATCCCATTTCTCATCTTTTTTGACTTAAATCTCAGATCTAGAAAATGAAATTTGAAGAGGAATTATAAGATTTAAAGACGTTGAAGCGCATGAAGTGAGGTGCGAGGAAGGATGAAAAATAAGTGGGTTAATCATGTATGACTTAGGAGCATAACGGAGATGAGAGATATATCAGAGACTAGAGTTTTAAAAATCCTTGCATGCTACAATCTCGTTGGTACCTTTGTTACTTATATGCCCCAACGACTCAGGATTTCATATGTTTCTGGCAAAATCAGGAGAGACGAAACTACGAGAGATCAGTGGGAAAATGAGGTTTGTGGTGGTCTAAAGTTAATTGTAAGGGGCATTTTATACATAACACATAACTCTTAAATAATTTCACATCTAACACCTAAAATTTAATAAAATAAATATATAATTAATAATTAATCTAAAAATATTATTAAAATAATAATATATTACTTTTAAATATAAAATTAAATAAATTTATTTAAATATTATATTTTATATAATGTGAGCTATCATCGAGTTTATTATTAAATATTTATCAAGTTACTTATTAAATAACAAATGAGTTTGCTTGTGAACATAAATGAACAGTTCGGTTATGTTTATGTTTAGTTCATTTAAGCTTCAAGCTTTTAAAAATTGTTCAAGTTTGTTTATTTACTAATTTGAACGAACATGATCGAGCCTTGATCGATTTGAATTTGAGTTGTTGATGGAGTACATTAGTTCATTTATAGCCCTACTTGTATGTGAACCCCTAAAACATAAGCAATGTTGGCTCAGGAACAATCAAGGAGTGTCGAAGACGGTTCCAAAAGCAAATAGGATTCCGAGAGTGAGAAATAAGAAAAATAAAGTAGAAAAAACGTGGGACCCCTAAAAAGGGCAAAAAGAGAGGTTAAAATGTTTTGAAATGTTTTTCAATGTAATGGGTTCACATCGAAAAAGTTCACCATTTATTAGTGGAACGCCGGAAATATTGAGTCAGAATATAGAATAACATATACACTCGGCACCTAATAATTTTTTAGATCTGGCTCACGTTACTAGACCTAAATCCAGCCTCACACTTATTATTTTGGATCTGGCAATGTCCAAACTCATTTACTAGACCTCTTACGAAATCCGGCCTCACACTTATTATTTTGGATCTGGATTAGAACTCATAACGTTTTAAATTTATTTATAACTTAAATAATCATCAAACTTTAAATGGCCCGTACTATATAATTCATATCAATTTTAACGAGTAGTCGACGTCCCCTTCTATATAAACCCGCCGGGAATTAATGCACCCCAAACCCATAAGCCATTAAGAAAAATGGGGATGAAGGACCTCCTCATCCCCCTCTTCATTAATCTCCTCTTCCTTGTACTTTCTTCCCTCGCCATTAACGTTGCTCAGCCCCCTAATCTCGACGAGTACGAGTACGTGGAATGCCTCCACAACCACTCTGTTCCCCCCAACCTCTACTTCACTCCTCAATCCCGTTTCTACAGACATTTCTTCTTCTCCTCCGTCCGCAATCGCCGCCCCCTCCTAAACTCCTCTAAACCACTTCTACTCTTTCTCCCCACCATCGACAACCACGTCCAAGCCGCTGTTCTCTGTTCCCGCAGCCTGGGCATTCGCATCCATGACTATGAGGGTCTATCCTACGCTTCCACCTCCGGTCGATTCGTGCTCGTCGACCTCCAATTCCTCTCTTCCATCAACATCGATATGCACTCCAGCACAGCCTGGGTGCATGCCGGCACTACTCTCGGCGAGCTCTACTACGCCATCGCCAACCATAGCAGAACTGTCGCCTTCCCCGCCGGCCTCTGTCCCACCGTAGGCGTTGGCGGGCATCTCAGCGGCGGAGGATTGGGGACTTTAACGAGGTCTTAATTTTGAATAAAAAAAGTAAATTTGTTGCTAATCATGAGATATTTAATTCATACTATTTCATTAAGCAGGTTCTTCGGGTTAGCGAGCGATAACGTAGAAGACATCCGAATCGTCGTGGCAAGCGGAGAGATAAAGGATCGAGAAACGATGGGAGAAGATCTATTCTGGGCGCTGAGAGGGGGAGGAGGCGCGAGCTTTGGGGTGATTCTAGCTTACAAGGTGAGGCTTGTGGGGGTTCCGAGTAAGGTAACTGTTTTCACAATCTCAAAAACTTTGGAGGAGGGAGCGACGAAGCTTGTGGACAAATGGCAGCACATGGCTTATAGGGTGGATAAGAGGCTGTTTATCCAGGCGGTGTTTACGGTTTTGGGAGATGATAGGGAAACAGATGATGGGAATAAGACGAACAGAACAGTACAGGTTTCCTTTAAATCCTTGTTCCTTGGTGAGACGAATGGGCTTCTTCGCGTAATGGAGGATTCTTTTCCGGAACTCAAGTTGAAGGCGGAGGATTGTACAGAGATGAGCTGGATTGAGTCGGTCCTCTACTTCGCACGTAAGTGCGGTCCCTTTAAATTTTTCTTTTTTTTTACATAATATCGATCAAGTTTAGCCGGCAGATTTCTTGTGATTAAAACTAGTTGGGAAAAGTTGGGAAATTAAAGAAAATGATCAGTCCGGCAATGTTTTGCGCGATCGAAATCTCATTTACAGATTAATACTTAATTGACGTAGCTAGTTTGAACCGGTTGTTAGATTTACTAAATCAATTAAGTTGATTAATAAAATCGATTCACAAATTTAATCATGCTGTAATATATTTTTGTTTGATTTTGATTGAATAAAATTTTGAAGTTCTACTTAAAAGATATCCATTTGGTCAGTTCAAATAGATTGATGAGCAAATTTATTAAATTAATTAATTAATTGGTAAAATCGATTAAATATCAAAATGATTTAGTTTCTTATTTTAGACATAAATTTTTTTCCAAAGTGAATCAATAACTTAAATTCAAATCACCTTTAATCTGAAACTAAATTCAAAACCAAATTTAACATAGCTCTCAGTTTAAATCAACTTATGCGCACTCTTTAATAAAACACTAGGATTAGCGTTAACATTAAAATAATAGTTGTTAAACAAAATAAACCCTGACTCCGGAAAATTTGCAGGATACGAAGGAAAGCCTTTGAGCAGCCTACTAGAGAGATATTCTCCGGTGTTCAACAGCTCCTTCAAGCACAAATCCGACTTCTTAACACAAACCATCCCCTTGGAATCTTGGGACAGAATACTGAGTCGTTTCCTCGAGAAAGGAGAGCAACCCACACTGATGTTAGATCCGTGGGGTGGGAGAATGGATGAAATCTCTGAAACCGAGACAGCATTTCCTCATCGGAAAGGAAGCCTTTTTAACGTCCACTATTTGACGGAGAGGTGGTCGGAAGACGACACTGCAGTGAGCAAGAGGCATGTGGAATGGTTGAGGAGGTTTTACGAGTTCATGACACCTTATGTTTCTAAGAATCCAAGGGCGGCTTATCTCAACTATAGAGATTTGGATATTGGGACGAATGTGAAGGGGAACAAGACGACTTACTGGGAGGCGAGAGTGTGGGGAGAGAGATATTATAAAGGTAACTTCAAGCGATTGGCTTATGTGAAGGGCGAGGTGGATCCTACTAACATGTTCATGAATGAGCAGAGCATTATTCCTCCTCTTTTTCATTAAGTCTTTTTCATTAAGTAGTTGGTCACCTGAATGCTCCATAGAGGTGAAAAAAAATGGTTATGGGCAGGGAGACTATGCACTTTGTTTTAAGCGACATTAAAATAGTGAGGAAAGTGATGTATTTGAGCTACTCTTACGTTATGACTTATGCTCTTTGTGAATGTTTGTGATGTTTTATCCAAAGAAATATTTGAGTTTCTCAGCACCGTTAAATAATTTAAGTTCTCACTTCTCGATCATCATCCACACACACACACACACACACACACACACACACACACACACACACACACACACACACACACACACACACAGATCATAGTGTTGTGTTGATAATCAATCTAAATTAGTTCATTAAGTTTTTATTTGTGAATGTGGAAAATCCAATTAGTAACTTTGGACGAGAAATATAAACTTAAGGAAATTTTTTAAGTTTTAAATTTGTCCGTAAATAATTCTCAATAAATAGAGTGTAAATAAGAAGAAATCAAGAGAGAGAAAGAGAGAGGCGAAGTATGCACTATAATAAATCATGTATTATTCATAAAATATTTCCACTATTTATAAGTAATAGGGTACAATGAAGTTATTACATTTTTGCCCATATTTGATAATGATTCATATTATGATATTTTTGATATTTTATATATATGGGCTTATCGTTTATCTTCTTCTTGGCTCGACAAGAGAAATATAAACTTAAACAAGTTTGTTGAATCTAAATTTATACGTGAATCACACTCAAGGAATATAGCGTAAATAATTGCGCGGGGTAAAAGATAAATAATCACACTCAAGAGAATAACATCATCATTTTTATAAAACAAATGAACAGTAATCAATCATGTCTTACTCATAAAATGTTTCCCTATTTATACAAGAGACGATGCAATGATGATATTATATTTTTGCCCCAGTTTGGAAGGGATTCATATTATGATGGTTGTCCTTTTTTTTAGTGGTTAGTTTGGTTTTGTGGAATTGGATCTTAATCAGGTTGTCCCTTTTTTTTTTTGTAGTGGTTAGTTTGGTTTCTCTTTTGCATTATTTTAGGCCAAATGACCAGTGCATGGATCATTCAGCCGTATTCCTGTCCGCCTAATATAGAGAAATGTATTCGATCATCACTTTACCTCCATTTAGCCAGTTCACCTATGCCCATCATTTCTCTCTTTTGTGTTTGCTCGCTTCGCTCTCAATATTTCTGCAACATAGCTTTATTTTGAAAACCATATAAGTGCTATAAAAATTATTATTTTTCATTATGTAGGTTTTTTCCAATTATAAATGCATTTTTGCCTTACTGAACCTCTTAACGGAGTTCCCATGATTTTAATTGAATTTCATCGATCTAAATTTGATGAAGTAGATCTGAGTTTTCTATTTTTGAAATATTTATGTGAAAATAGACTTGTAATGTAGTACTATTCCATCATAAGAACTTTACAATAATTCTTAAGATCATTTCCAACTTAACTAGTTGGCACACACAATGTTGATTTTATTTTGTTTGTTTCTAGGATTAGTATTTATGATGATTTCTATTTTTTTAGGATGAAAACTATAAAAGATTGAAGCAACTTTACAACTCGTCAAGTCACAAAATTCACACTTTTTTAGACACATGCATGTTGACGTGAGTTGACAAGAATGAGCCCCCATTGAGCCAATTATATTCCTCTCCGCCTAACATAGAGAAATGTTTTCTATCATCACTCTACCTCCATTTAGCCAGCTCACCTATGCCCATCATTTTCTCTCTATTGTGTTTACTCGCTTCGCTCTCAATATTTATGCAACCTAGTTTTATCTCGAAAATCATATAAGTGCTATAAAAATTATTAATTTTCATCATGTAAGTTTTTTCCAATTATAAGTGCATTTTTGCATTTTTGAACTTCTTAGCAGAGTTCCCATGATTTTGATTGAATTTTATCGATCTAAATTTTATGAAGTAAATCCGAGTTTTCTATTTTTTAAATATTGATGTGAAAAAATAAATGTAATGTAGTACTATTCCATCTTAAGAATTTTACAATAATTCTTAAGATCATTTTCAACGTAACCAGTTAGCAGGTACAATATTGATTTTATTTTTGTTGTTGCTAGGATTAGTATTTATGATAATTTCTATTTTTAAGAATAAAACTATAAAAGATTGAAGCAACTTTACAACTCGTCAACTAAACACAATTCACACTTTTTTTGGTGCGTGTATGTTGACTAATCCAATCTTTCTCCCTAAAATGATGAGAGTTGACAAGAACGAGCCCCCACTGAGCCAGTCCAATTTACCTCTTAACATAGACTGGAGGTGACATGAATAACCATTTTTCGAATGATTAAATCATTAATCCTAATTAAACTATAAAATAAGCATTCCAATCAACCCCATGATTATTATCACATTGAATGTAAATTTCAACCGAAGGAGTTTATCCTAAAATTAAACATACTTTAAAATTTTAAATAGAAAAAATAAAATATTGAAATAAAATGTATCTAAAAATAAAAACTCATCCGCCCACCGTGATTGTTTGGCGAACGCAATAAATCAATTATTAACACACGCTCACAAAGCGACAATGTCATATTAAATGTATAACTAAATTTATACTTAAAATAATATGTCCTAGTAAGGGCAAGGTCAAGTTATCTTTTCATGAGATTTGACCAATATGATTCATAAAAGCCAATATGATTCATAAAAGCAATTCAGATCTGAGCTTCTTGGTAGGGTGCTTTGGCTAACATATTTCATTATAAAATAGTCAAATCTGCAACTTCTATATTCTCCAATGATATTTTACTAATTTGAGAAATGAATCAGGTATATAAATATATTTGATAGAGCATGAAGCCCTCTGTAAGTTATGGTCGACTTAGATTACTCTCTTTTGACATATATCCACTCCAAGGCTACATGATTTCTCTATACAAAGCAACTCACGGCTATTAATAAGGATCCTTCTGTTAGATTGAGTCGACCACTTCTTTTGCGTAAGCATACAAGGAGCCACGACGAAATAATAAAAACAATGTATCGAAATCACAATTTCAAATTCCACAGTTTGAATATACTATAATTTATGAGCACTTTTTTTTTTTATCCTGAGGAATGGTTTTATTTATAATCTATGATTTTGATTAGTGACAAAACTTTGACAATTACATACATAGCATCAGAAACATTGTTTTTTGTAAAATAGAACGTCAATATAAAATTTTTGAACTATCAAATCAATGTATTTACACGTGTGAAGATTAAACCATTGAGATTTGTTAAAAATGAAAAATATGAGTTGGTCTTTTATCATGAATTTTGATATTTGACAGAGAAATTGAAAAATAGATGAAAGAGGATGTTAGATTTGTAAATAGCAATGTTTTGGGTCCTGTGTATATAATTGCCCCGACTTTAACTGGGCCAAATTTTATATATTTTTTTTAATTTTATGATTTTAACTCTCTCTCAAACATCATTAATCCGCTTTAACACAACGACCTTATTCTTTATGGCTGGACATTTAGAATTAATTTGATGAATTATTTTTTCTTCATTATTTATCTATCATCAAAATTATCAACACGAGGAATAGTGTACGGACGCCGCTAAAGTTCTAAAATCATTTTTATGTCATTTTCATAAATACTTTATTAATTTCGCTCATTTTTAATATGTTTGACATTTAAGAATATTTTCTTATTCATTTGGGGCAATTTATTTGACACCTGGACTATTTGGGTAAATTGTGTTTTTGCAACTTATGAGTTTTTAAAATGCGGAAAACAGCGTTTCACATCACATCTATCTAGGTGTGGTGACAGCTTTCTAGCTGCGGTTTGACTTTTCCCAAAAAATAAAAATTTGTAATAGCCACCGAACCTAACTTATCAGTAGATTATTTTTAATCAGTGTACCAGCAAATTATTCAATAGGTTGCAGCTGCCCCAAACTATCTGATTGGATGTGAATTGAAAACAGTTCATCCATGAGTAGTTGGAATAGACTTTAAAATTGGAAGATTTACTAAACACTTAAATCTTGTGTTCTTTTATTTTTATTTTTTAATTTTTCTCACTTAAATGTTATGTATGTACGTATCTAGCTCTTATTTAAATTTTTGCATGTGACATCTTAGAAAAGTGTATTGCTTTTTTTTAAAGAATTAAAATAGTGGTATTTTTTAAATGATAATCATTTTTGGATGGTCTAAATATATAAAGTAAATTTAGGTGTTAAATATGTAAATAGAAAAGAGTTGCTGGCATGTATGTAAATTCCTCTTTTAAATTTTTTAGTTTTTATTAAATATATTTTTGTATAGGTAAATTTACATACCTATCACCAATTCTTATGACTTTATATATCTAACACCTAAATTTTTATATTTATATTTATAACATTTCGGTGCTATAAATTTATGTGTACATGCAAAAATGTATTTGACTTCTTAAAAGTCAAGATAATGTTATTTTCTTAATGTAATATTACATATGTAGATGGTATGAGTATAAAAAGAAAATTCAGATATTAAATATATGGCGGTATGTACGCAAATGCTTTATATATATATATATGTATATATATATATAATGTATGTATATATATATATGTATGTATGTATGTATATATGTATATGTATGTATGTATATATGTGTGGCCAATGGAGCTGGCGGCACCTCCCTCCCTATTCTGAGGGTTCTTATGCTTCCCTTCATAGCTTTGGAGATGTGTTTTCTACCTCTCCTGCCTTTTTAAGTGTTTCTTTGGTGCTATTTTTGTTGCTAGTGTGGTTTTTGAACCTTTGGGTGTTCCCGAGCTCTCAAAATTTAAAAATCCTTAATATAATTTGTTGTTCCATTGGTGTCTTTACTCATGGTTGCACCTAACCATCCTTTGCCTCCCTCTGTTGATGGTTCTTTTGGCCCCAAAAAAAGTTTTTTTTGCTGATGTTGTATCTAACAATGCTGGTTTT